TAAAAATAATTAAATAGCGAATATATAAATTTTAATATTAAGAGCTCATCTATATTTTATAATTACTTTTTTTCCAATGGTAATTTTATTAATACAAATATAAGAATACTTAATCCATATAATTACAAAATGATAGTCTATTTTATTTATATGTACTTACAATATTACATTTTATAATTTATGTTATACACTTTGTTACAGTTTTGTATAGCATTATACTTTACTTTTTGAAGTAATAAAATATTAATTCCTTATAGATTGCCAAATGGCAATTATTACCACCCAGAAATTAAATGAATCACATGACTCCTTTCAAACATTTTAGATATTAAGATTACTAATTGAGTTAAAGTTGGTCTTAAATATTAATTGTCTTGTAATTTATGATTAATTTAATAAAGTTACTAATTTATTTGAAGTTTTAATTTATTGACTAATTGATAGGTGCTTGAATTATTCTTGTAAATTATACTTTATTCAAAAAAAAAATCATCAAGATTTCTTTTCGCTCGTTAAAATGTATAAGATGCATTCCTAAAAAGTTAGATGGAGTATTAACAAATTAAAATTAATTAGAGGTACCATAAATCTCAATAAATTAATTATTAGTAGGATGGTAATAAGAGATAGGGGGAGTGAAAAATCAACCCACGCTCATTATAATTCATGGAAGAGTGGAGTGAATGGTGTTATTTACATTTTCGGAATTTGCTTCTCCAATCTATTGTCATTAGTCTTTTAACTTCAGTTCAAAAAATCTACTGTCATTAGGCTATCTTTATCAATTCATATTTCTACCATATCAACCAACTATTCCAAGTTCTGACGATACTAAAAAAAAAATCAAATTTCATGTGCACTTGTACTTTTGGGTCAAGTGGCTTCGGACCACTTTGGAGGTGTAGTCCCCTCTCCTTGATGGTTCAAGTTGCGAATCCCACCCTGTTATTTTGTTCAAAAAAAAAAAAAAATCATATTTTATGTGTTGTCAAGACTGCACATATTTTTAGAGATTAGTCTGTCAATTTTAGTGTTCCCACTATAGATCATGCATATAGGCCAGTAGCCCTGAGCAGTTACTTTCAAAAAAACGTTCTCTCATGCAGGATCATGAATTGATTTTATTCTGGTCTCCCATGTGACTGGAACGAATACCTCCAAAAAAATGGGACCACCGGATGCATTATTTTGTTGATCACGGGTGGCATTGATTTTTCTTTTCCTCTTTGGTTCCCATCAGCTGTTCCTACAGATGTGGCTTTAATTTTACTTTACTTTTAATGGAGTTATTTATCTCTAATTTGTATTCATTATTTATCTATTGATTCTTTAATTTTACGATTACTTGATTGAATTTTACTAATTATCAATACTTGATCGAATGGTACAGTAGCTTCCGCCTATTATCTTATTTTGGTGCCCATCAGCTGGTTGTTGAAATGCCCTATAGATATTTTAAACCAAATCTACACATAAATTTTCAGATTAATTTTACCTAATTCTTTTGTTACTCTATTTACCCTCTCTTTGTTTTTTTCAGAATGCCTCACTTATGATCCTCACGTTCCGGCTTACTTGCTACAGTCACTAGTTACATGTTCCAACTCCGTGACATCCTTTTCCTATTTTTCGGATACCACTAATATGTACTAATTGCCCTCTTTAAAAAAAATGGCAAAACCATAAGTTAAGCCCCCAAACTTTAATTGATGCATTTAAGCCCTTGAACTCTGCGATCAAAGCAATTAAGCCCCTCTTCTTACGCCAACTTAACTGCCATTTGGGACTTGCTCGCGTGGATTAACTGTCGTTTAGGACACAGTCGTTTGGCTGCTTGGATGGCAAAATATTGCCATGTCATGCTTATATGGCAAGGGATTTGACATTTAGATTAGATTTTTGACTTATTTAATCATTTAATTTTTTGATTTAAATAAAATTTAAATAAAATAATATCATACATTTGGGTGAAAATATTATTTAAATAAAATCTTAAATTTAAATTTAATAAATAAAATAATAGACATTAAAAAAAATTTATATGATTTATTGTGATTTGATTTTAA